GCAGATTGGTAAATTGCTTCTTTCTCTCCAATAAACAACTGGAGTTATTTACAGTCTCCATTTCTTCCTATAGATGGCAGCAAGAGCTCAGCTCCTTTTGATACAAGCAGGATTTGGTGAAAAGTTGTTCAGATTTAATTTCAGTACAAATTTGTACTTATTAAACCTAATATATAAAGTAGAATACATTTTCAACATTTGAAGAATACACGCAAAAAAAACAAACAGCTTTAGAAAGTATAGTTTGAAAATGCACACATGTCCTTTTTATTCAGCAAAAAGATACTTGAAAACTGTTTAAAATATGATTACAAGAATGTGTATATTTAAAAATATGGAAAGGTTGGTAAATACAGTATATGGAAGCGGATAAGCTTCAATATGATGAGGAAATTAGGCAAGATAATAATGGAAAAATTTAAACTTGACTGAAAGCAAATATTACACACTGGTTTCTTCACATTTTGAGCTTCCAAAAATCAGTGATCTTTAGCTATTGTTATACAGATGGGCTGCGTATTTTTCCTCCTTTGTTCTGATAGAGCCACCATAGTAACTGGTGTCTCTTCTAGGTGTGTGCACTTGAGTAAACCCCTTGTCATGTTGGTGTCCAGATTTTAATGCTTCCCCCCACCCCCGTTGCCCTCACCCCCAGAAGACTTTTTTCCTCACCTCCCTCGCCACCCAAATCCTTTCCTCCTTGCTTTCCTTGCTTATAAAACCCTATTTCCCTTCCACTGGTCTGATTCTGTTTTTCCTTCATGGCAGAGGGCAGTTGAACTGGCCCCTGGGGTTTCTATTGTTGTTTTTGTCGTCGTCATCGTCGTCGTCGTTGTTGTTATTTCAAAGGCTGGGTGGTCATATGTTGGGGGGTGCTTTGATTTGTGCCTTTCCTGCCTGGGGAGCCTCCAGTGGCACAGTGGGTTAAACCACTAAGCTGTTGAACTTGGTGACCGAAAGTTCGCCGATTCAAATCTGGGGAGTGGGGTGAGTTCCCACTGTTAGCCCCAGCTTCTGCCAACCTAGCAGTTCCAAAACATGCAAATATGAGTAGATCAAAAGTTACCTCATCTGTAGGAAGGTAACAAGACTCCATGAAGTCATGCTGGCCAGATGACCTTGGAGGCATCTATGGACAATGCCAGCTCATAGGCTTAGAAATGGAGATGAGCACCACCACCAATTTGGAGGGTTCAAATTGGGCATATCGGGTATGCATGCCAAGTTTGGTCCAGATCCATCATTGTTTGAGTTCATAGTGTGCTCTGGATGTAGCTGAACTACAACTCATATAAATCCCTCCAAAGACCTCCAGTGGTTTTTTCTTGGTCATGGGGGTTCTGTGTGCCAAGTTAGCTCCAGGTCCATCGTTGGTGGAGTTCAGAGCACTTTTAGATTGCAGATTAACTATAAATCCAAGTACCTACAACAGCTATAAATCTAGGTGAATTCCCCCCAAATCCCTCCAGTGTGTTTTGTTGGTCATGGGGGTTCTCTGTGCAAAATGTGGTCCAGCTCCATTGTCAGCGGGGGTAACTGTGCTGTGTCTTGGTGCAGGATGAACTACAACTTCCATCCTGTGGAGTCAGCCCCCCAACCCCCTACAGAATGTTCAGTTACTGATCCATTCCTCTGTTTACTGTGTTCATAGGAAAGGGTTAAGGGAGAGGCAAGTGGGCAGGTTCATTCAAATTCAATCCCAATTGAGAGAGAAAGGAACCCTGGGAGGTGTCTTTAGTGGAGGACAAACAGAAAATCTAGGCTGAAATTGTCCTTGTCTAAAAGCCTTGACTTAGGTGGTAGGCAGTAAGGCATTTGTGGAGGGCATTGGCAGAGCTCTTGGACATGTTCATAGTAACCTGCAATGTTGGTTTTGGGAGGGCCATGGGTGTCTCCTGCTCAGGGACACTATAGCCTGTTTGTGGAGGCGGAACTCTGTGTAAACAGACATCCCTACCACATACAAACATACACATATAGATAGATGTGTGGGATGTGTTTAGCAATGTTGCGTTGGGTGGTAGTGGTTAGAACTAGTTTGTTAGTTGCTTAAGTTTATGTTTTATATTAAGAAGTAATATTTGCTATATTTTTGTAAGGGGGATATAGTCCTTTTGTTTTGTGAAATTTGTCTTTCTGTATATGTCTTTCTTTGATTGCTTGATTGTAGATTTCATTGACTGAAAATATTTATAAAGAAGAAGAAACTGTAGCTTCTACAGAAGACCCTAACTGAATAAGTGTGTGGTGGGGGAGAGGGGGTTGTATTGTACTACTACTACTACTAATTGTTGTTTATTCATTCAGTCGCTTCCGACTCTTCGTGACCTCATGGACCAGCCCACGCCAGAGCTCCCTGTCAGCCGTCACTACCCCAACTCCTTCAGAGTCAAACCATCCATCTTCAAGGATACCATCCATTCATCATGCCCCTGGTCGGCCACTTTTTCTTTTTCCTTCCATTTCGCCTAGCATCATTGTCTTCTCGAAGCTTTTTGCCTTTTCATGATATGGCCAAAGTACTTCATCTTTGCCTCTAATATCCTTTCCTCCAATGAGCAGTCGGACTTTATTTCCTGAAGTATGGACTGGTTGGATCTTCTTGCGGTCCAAGGCACCACAGTTTTTCTCCAGCACCACAGTTCAAAAGCTTCTATCTTCTTCGCTCAGCATTCCTTATGGTCCAGCTCTCACATCCATAGGTTACTATGGGGAATACCATTGCTTTGACTATGCGGATCTTCGTTGCTGGTGTGATGTCTCTGCTCTTCACTATTTTATCGAGATTGGTCATTGTTCTCCCAAGAAGTAAACGTCTTCTGATTTCCTGGCTGCAGTCTGAATTTGCAGTAATCTTTGTACCTAGAAATACAAAGTCTGTCACTGCCTCCATGTTTTCTCTCTTTATTTGCCAGTTATCAATCATTCTTGTTGCCATAATCTTGGTGTTTTTGATATTTAACTGTAACCCAGTTTTGGCACTTTCTTCTTTCACCTTGTTTAGAAGGCTCCTCAGCTCCTTTTCGCTTTCGGCCATTGAAGTAGTATCATCTGCATATCTAAGGTTGCTAATGTTACTTCCAGCAGTTTTACCTTCAGCCTTGGATTCGTCAAGCCCCACACATCGCATGATGTGTTCTGCATACAAGTTGAATAGGTTGAGGGAGAGTATATAGCCTTGCCGTACGCCTTTCCCAATCTTGAACCAGTCTGTTGTTCCATGGTCAGTTCTTACTGTTTCTACTTGGTCATTATACAGATTCCTCAGGAGAGAAACAAGGTGATTTGGTATCCCCATACTACCAAGAACTTGCTACAGTTTATTATAATCCACACAGTCAAAGGCTTTAGAATAGCCAATAAAACAGATATATTTTTCTGAAAGTAGGCTTACTACAGAAACCTTTTGTGAAACTGCCTGCCTTTCTCCATTACCCAGCAGATATTGGCAATGTGGTCTCTTGTTCCTCTGCCTTTTCTAAACCCAGCTTGCATATCTGGCAACTTTCTCTCCATGTATTGCTGGAGTCTTCCTTGCAGGATCTTGAGCATTACCTTACTGGCATGTGAAATCATTGCCACTGTATGAAAGTTTGAGCATTCTTTAGCATTTCCCTTTTTTGATATGGTGATATATGTTGATTTTTCCAGTCTGATGGCAATTCTTGTGTTTTTCATATTTGCTGGCATATGGCATGCATGGCCTTTCAAGATTTTAAACAGTTCCGCTAGGATCACGTCGTTTCCTGCTGCCTTGTTGTTAGCAATGCTTCTTAAGGCCCATTCAACCTCACTCCTCAGAATGTCTAGTTCTAATTCACTCAATACTAATAGGTTCCTAAATTGCATTAGAATAATGAGGCTGAGACAGTTGCAGCAGTCTTCGCGTGTTACTATACACACAATAGAAATTATTATAATCTTACAGATAATCATTGGTGAATGGACCCGTGGTGTTACAATATTGTTTGATGACATATTGTGTTTTCCACATACCATATATACTAATGAAGAAGTCAACCTTACGTGTTAGTCGAGAACAGGTTTGAGGACCAAATTATGGATTTTGATATGCCTTGCAGATAAGTTGAGGGTCATTCTGATAAGAGGGAGAAGCACTCAGGAATTCAAAATAGCCAGAAGCAGTTTTTTTTGTTTGGTTTTTCTTTTTGTCGTGTCAGGAGTGACTGCAAGTCGCTTCTGTTGTGAGAGAATTGGCCGTCTGCAAGGATGTTGCCCAGGGGACGCCTGGATGATTTGATCTCTCATATCCCCGCATGAGGAGCTGGAGCTGATAGAGGGAGCTCATCCACCTCTCCCCGGATTTGAACCTACGACCTGTCAGTCTTCAGTCCTGCGGGCACAGGGGTTTAACCCACTGCGCCACCGGGGGCTCCGTCAGAAGCAGTGCCATCTCAGAAAGAGTAAAGGGGGCTGGTGATTCTTCTGATTTCCTAAAATATATATAAATCCTTTATATAAAAGTTTAATTGATTTTTAATCTACTTTGCAACTGTTTCTTGCACTATGATATTTTGCATGGGAAAAGGTTCTGTGGTAGCTATTTAATATTTTTGTCTGTGTCTTGGGAAGGGGAACATAAGAGATTTCTGTCACTGTAGTAAGCCTACTTGTACTAATACAGTATAATCCTGTATGAATATAGCATAATATAATAATGTAATAGTCCAGTGATATTAATGTTCTTGACATACTGAAGCAAGGCTTCTTCGTGTGGATAGTCAAGATTTCTGTCTGGTGCATTAAGATCTTAATTTATGAATGCATGCTGTGTAGTAGGCTGTGGGGACTCTCGAAAACTTTTTTTAGGTATTTCCAGTGGGTACAGAGTGAGGGGGAACAGGATGGAAAAATCCATCATGTGGGAAATTCCAGTCCAGAGCAATATTAGCTTTGAACTACATACTTTATTTCTGTTTTAAGAAAAAGAAATCATTTATTATCTAATTTGCTTCAGTATTTATATTAATTTCTTTTAGGTTTTCCTTGGATATTTTATAACAGCTAAAAATAAGTGCAGCTCAAGTTTGGAGTGTGCTTGCAGCCTGGAATTAGCTACTGTGATTTCCGTTTAGGTAATGAATATTTTCTCTTGTTTTCCTCACCATACAAGTTTGCATTTTTAAATCATCATGGCAAAGATAACAAAAAAGCACACAAACATTGTCAGCAATTCATGTTTCCCTGGGCTGACAGAGAAAGGCAGGATTCTGTCCCCCAATCCTCTCTCCCTTGCTGAGTTAATTGAATGTAAACGGCTTTCCACTTTAACTCAGTTTGCAGCAATTTAAATAAGCTGAGAACAAAGGGGGAAATGGTGGAAAGATAATTTTTTTCAAACAGCTGAAAAAAATGGAATGACTGTGTGATGACAGAGAATTAATCAGGTCTGCCCTTGATAAATTAAGACAATTGTATGATATGATATAAGTCTGAACTGCTTAACGTCTCAGTTTAGAATCAGAACTTAAGAATATCGTGCAGAAATGGAAGAATTTTGTAATGTTCTTATATCTAGAGATAGAATCATGAAGTTGGAAAATAATGCATGTGCCAATTTTTTTAAAAAAAATTAAATGAGTATATCAGTTATGCTATGGTAGGTTAATTGTCATGTGGCCAATGATCTGGTTTGAAAATGTTCAAAAGCCACCTGTTTTGTTTTGAGAACTTCTAGTTTATTTGTATATATACCTACATTATAGCTAAACATTGCTCAAAATTAAATAAAATTAATATTTTGTAATTATTGAAACAATTAAACATTCTCTTCAGTCTTTATTAACAATAAAACTCTTCAACTTACACTTGATGAGTATACATATAAAGCAGCTCAAATATGGTATTAACTATTGATATTGAACTAAAAGTAATAAATTGACTGCAATATCAACCATTCCACTGATTTTGATGTATGTTGTCCCCATCACCTATACTGCAAGTGGTGATTTTCCATAAAATGTTGTCCTCATGCTGCAGTATCAGTGATATTTAAAAAAAACCTTCTAGAAGTACTGAGACTGAAAAAGAGGGGTTTGGAGCATGTCGACCACATATATTTCTCCCTATTCGTGCTTGTAACACTGTTGAAGAGTATTATTATTTCATTATTTACCTGTTCAGTACTTATTATATAAAATAAATTGGTATCTTCTTTTGTTTGTTTGCTTGATATATAGCTTGGCTCATTCCAGCAAATAGTATATATGCTGAAAGTAGTAGATGAAACTACTCATCTGATCTGGCTCAGATGAAATGCCAATCTGCAAATTGTTTTTACTTGCGTTTAGGATTATGTGCCCCCTACTCCCTGTCCTCTAGTACAGATAGAAACCACATAGACAATTGAAACTGAAATAGTTCAGACCAGAGATTTAAAACTCTCTAGCCCAAAGCTTTCCAACCATTCCATGTTGGTGACACACCTTTTAGATATGCATCATTTTGTGACACTGTAATTCAGTTTTGCTAGCAAACCAAAGGTTAAATCAACCCCTTATAAGAAATAGACACATACCTACATTGCAATAAGCAAATAAATGGATACACAACATATTGCATGAAAATCTTGAATTTATATTTTAAAATATATGATTTGTAATACTCATATAATAACTTTTCCAAGATTTTTGTCATAAAGATTGTATTTTCCTTCAGTGTGCTATCTAATAAAATGATTTCAGGTATCACAGTCCTCTGTGAACTCTGGATTTATCTGTCATATGTGAAACACTTTAATTTTAACATTTTTCTTTGTAGAAGACCTCACATACTTGAATCTAATTACCTCTAATTTATATTCAACATGTAATTTGTTCTTTTCCTCTATGGAGGGAGTTATTTATGTTTCTTTTTTTCTTTCTTGGCAGGTCCATGATGAGCACACTGATGCAAGATAAAGTTAGTGAACGGTTATAAAATGCCCAGATTTGGGTCAGCAAAGGTAGTTCAGATTCAAAATTCTGACAGTGATAGCACCATGGTGGAGAAACCAACTGGAAGAAAGGTATAAAAAGAAATGTGATGAAGACATACAAAAAACATGCAACATGCCTGAATGAAAAAAATTACATAGTGTGTGAAGATACAGTATAATGTGATACTAAATTAAACTGTAGGAAGTACTTGCTAAATTAATGAGCTTCTGTATAATGTATGTTTCTCCTTACAAACTGATGGAAAATAACGTTCCTTATAGCAGTTCACTGCATCATGTCTAATAGCTGTTCACATGATTTATTTTAAAAGTTTTGATGTTAATGAAGCACGAACTTCAGCTGCACTGAATCATAACTTTGGGTCAAATTTCAACAGACAAATCAAAGCAATGGTGGAATCTGTGGTTCAGAAACTGCTTTCCTAAGCTGTCAAATCACATTGAAATGTAGATACTTCCCAATCCCCCCCCCCCCCTTATGAAAGGCTATCCTGGCTATCCGCTTTTTTTTGTTGGCAAGCGAAGAGTTTTCTATTCAAACAGTATATAAGCAAGAACGTTTTTTATGGGAATTACTTGCATGTTTTATGGGGTTATAATTACTTCATTTAAAATATTTTATACTTTTGTATACTAATATATTACTGCACTTAATCTGTATTTATATAACGATTTTCAGTAGTAGAAGTGAATGATCAAATTTATTTTCAAATTTGCCATAATAATAAACTTGGAAATGAAATAGGGTCTTTAAGAAGCTATTGATTTCTTCATATTTGGGGGGCATCTTAGAAAATTGATATATTGATTAATTAATCTAGCTCAGAAGGGTACAATATGGATATATGTGATAATCAGGACAGTAACATTTTCATTAAAGTGTAAAATGTTTTGGATCCAGGGGGAGAGTTGTATATAGGAATAAATATTTAAGCCCATCAGTATCCATTGAAGAGCTACTCTATCCAGGTCTTTAGGTTGGTAGGCCATGATGAAATCCCAGCTCTCCCAGACAATTTTGTTAGCCATGTCTTGCAATTTCTGTGGCAATTCCCTCAATACCTGGCATTTTATGGAAAAACATACTGTCTAATGAACAGGGTCGTTGCTTCAGCTAGTACAAACATGCCTACCTTGGTTCATAATTAGCAGGACAGTAGATCAGAATCTTGGAAAGTGTTTTGAAACAAGAGAATGTTGGTCTGTATTTTGAAATGATCAGGTTTAACTTATGTGTACTTGCACTGGGAAGATAGGAAAGCTTTTTGTGTAAAATCAGTTTTGTTATTACCGTTGTACTTGTAATCCTATGTGCAATTTAAATTTAGAACTGTGTTTATTTTGTTGAATTGTTAAGCAAAACCTACCCAGTTAACCTTTTGCTTGTCAAAATACTGAGCCAAACACTTAACTGCCCCCCCCCCCTTTGTGGAAAGCTACCTAAGCCTTAATGTGGACTTGTAATTTATATTGTGAGGAAAGCAAGCTGTACCTTTGCTCTGCTTCTTAGTGCCTACAGTGATGGCTGGGAGTGGAGTGAAGTAGGGAAGCAAACAGTGCTCTAAAATTTCTGTTGGTATGCATGAAGGCTTATTGAACTGAATCATTACCTTCTACTAAATTTTGTCGCATCACTTTTCACGACAAGGTCATTTTTCAATGGCTTTCAACTTTACTGATCTAATTCTAGAGGAATGTTATCTTATTCTAATTTTTAAACCTGTAGAAAAAATAGAGAATGTTTCTTTAGCATTCTATTACTACAGTGTTTTGTATTTACAAGGGGTCTCTGGTAAACCTAGTAACCCTAGATTGCTGGAATCTGAGAAGCAAAACTCCACTATTGGCAAACTATCAAATGTTTATTTTTTAATCACTCTTGTTAGTTTTATGTAAACATTGTACTTATAACATAATATACTTTTTGTTTATATCAGAGCAAAGACAAGATTGCCTCCTACAACAAAACTGCAAAAGTGGATAGGAGCGATGTGGGAAAGGACATGAAAGAAAAGTCTTCCATGAAACGTAAACTTCAGTTTAATGTTAGTCCGTCCAGAAATGAAGATCGAAATTCAGACACAGGTAGAGCCTTTTTAATTTTATTTTTATTAATTAGTTTGTGATAGTGATCTGGTACAAAAAAATGAAAAGTAATAGTGAAATGTTTGCTTATATCTTATTCATCAATCATAAATCCAACAAATTGTTTATCTCAAATTGTCAGGTACCTACTTAGAGCTATACAGTTCTTTGCTAGTTTTCCTGTTCCACGTGTGAATTAGTCAGTCTGTGTGTGAGACCTGCCCACAATATTTTGTGTGGAGGTACCTGCCTTATAATTCAATTTTATAATTTTAGCGCTTAAATTAATTTTAAAGTCACTTTCATAGAAAGAGAGACTCAAATGATAGACATTTTTACATATTATTATACATATTATATATGAATGTAAGGTGTACAATTCATTCAAATCATAAACGTCTGTATATCCCATTGATAAACATCTGTATATATCTTACATCAATGAGTGCTTCCTAACCTTTGGTATTCCAGCTCCCACAATTCCTAACAGCTGGTAAGATGGCTGGGATTTCTAGGAGCTGCAAGTCCAAAACAACTGGAGGACCAAAGGTTGGGAATTATTGATGTAAATGAACTTTAAGAACAAAGGACATTTCAGCAGATAAAATTGGTGAGATTTCAAAGTGCGCAGGTAGTTTTTGATCACTGAAATAATTTTCATTGACTGATAAGAACCATATAAGTAGCACAATTCTACTTATTCTTGTTTTTTAAAAGACCTAATGGAAATGATCTTTTGGTTTTGGATTACACTCCCCTACTCGCTCCCTGTGAACTTTTAAAGAAGCAGCTTTGATTATAAAAATGCCTTATATATTTATTATTTATTTATTTACCTTACTTATATACCGCTGTTCTCAGCCCGAAGGCGACTCACAGCGGTTCACAACAAATACGAACAGCAAAAATTCAGTGCTACAGTATAAAAACAGTTAACAACCTAACACATTACACAATTAATAAACAGTTACTACAATACCCATTCACTGTCGTCTCGTCATCAAAACATGTTCCAGATTCGTCATCCATTGTTCCATTCCAGTGTTCATTAACCAATCATTGCACTGATTATTCGAACACCTGCTCAAACAGCCAGGTCTTCACTTTTTTTGCGGAATACCATTAGAGATGGTGCTAGTCTAATGTCCGTAATATAAGGCCTAGGCTCTTAGCTGAAGTATTATTGGGAACATTGTTTAGATGCTTCTTAGTGACTTGGAAAAATACACTATATAGAGCTCAATACAATATCATATATTTAGAAAATATTTTATAAGGCATTTGGTTTCTTGTTGAGATGATACCTCACAATACTGCCAATCTTGCAAATTGCTTTTGTATGAGATTATAGTTTACAATTAAGGAATTCAGTCCAAATTAGTCACCTGCCTGATCATACGGCACCTAACTATTGCATACTGAACACTGAATAACTGTGTTGTAGAAGAAGCTGCTGAGAGATATTTGAGAATTTTAGGACAAGATCACATTAGTGTTATAGAACAGAAGTTTTCATCTCCCAATTGCCCAATTTGCTCCTGCAAAATACTGGAAAATGTAGTTTAGGGCAGGGACTTTGGAATTCCCATCTGGAGAGGTCCTCAACTTCCCTACATTTCCCAGAATTCTGTAGGAGCAAACAGGGAAATCGCAAAGCAGAGACTTCCACTTAGAATGCTAATGTGATATTGTCCTAAGGAACATGGTATTTTCCATATCAATTTTCTCTCTTAAAAATATTTATGGATAGGTTGTCCCTAAGGGCAACCAGCATTGTTTTAACTCCAGAATGTAAGTATATTCAATACATTTATTTGCATCTGGGCTGCTAGTGAAATACCTGAACTGGTATCTTGTAGGAGTTAAAACTAAAACTAGAAACTGGAACTGTATCTGAAAGGTGCACCTGGGTCTAGATCCTATGTTGCCATATTTAAATAAACAGTATAGGTGACTTTACTTCAGCAGGCTCTTAAAGGCTACTCGTTTTAAAAGAGATTCCCTGGTGTTTTTGTGGGGGGGTGGGGTTGTTTTATTTTGGGGTTTTTTTTGTCCCTAATGCTTTTTTTTAGCTTTCTAAGGTTTGGCTGTAATGTATTATTCTGATTATGGTGGTGGTGGTATACTGACAGGAGAGGTAGAGGAGAACCTTTAGAATAAAAAAAAATCTTTGGCAGAAGTTAGAGCACTTCTAGATTCAATGTTATTCTCCAACTGTTCTTCAGTGGATAGAGTCTAGACTAGGGGTCCCCAAACTAAGGCCCGGGGGCCAGATACGGCCCTCCAAGGTCTTTTACCCGGCCCTTTCTCAGGAGCAACCTAAGCCTGAAACGACTTGAAAGGACACAACAACAACAATCCTATCTCATCAGCCAAAAGCAGGCCCACACTTCCCATTGAAATACTAATAAGTTTATATTTATTAAAATTGTTCTTCATTTTAATTATTGTATTGTTTTTATGTGTTTTTTGCACTACAGATAAGATATGTGCAGTGTGCATAGGAATTCATTCATGTTTTTTTTCAAATTATAATCCGGCCCTCCAACAGTTTAAGAGATTGTGACCTGGCCCTCTGTTTAAAAAGTTTTAAGACCCCTGGTCTAGACCCTATGGCCAATAGTTTCCTAGAAGCAGATATGCCTTTAAGCCAGGTGTTGCTGACATAACATCCTGGGAGTTGCACTGGAAATAGTTGCCAGTGAATAATGGACTTCTTTTCCTCATCTGTTATATTGCCCTCCCAGTTCTATAGCTTTCCTGCCTAATTCATTCAAGACTGCAGTCTGAATCTTCTCTATAAAGTAATGAAGGTCTCTAGGGGGGGGAAATGGGGAAATCCAGAAAAAGTACTTTTTTTCTCTCAAAACATTTTTTCCAAGAAAAATCAGAAAATACAGATTGTGCAATATACTCTTTAAGAATTAAGAATAAAATATGTGACCCGTATTCATATATTTGTCCCTCATACGTTTTTTGAAAATCTTTGATGTCAGACTACATATATCTCACATCATTGCAGTTCCTGTTCTGGATTTCCTTTTTTCGGTTCTTTATATAGGAATTAATGCTTTACATCTGTTTGACACTATAGACCAGTAGCAAAGACTTTTTTTTAAACTAACATTGATAAGTTCTTCTGCATTTATTTTCTTATTGTTTTTGGATTCCTTACTGTTTGCAACCTTTTAGCGCCATTTGTAACAAAAATGTTTAAAAAGTACGATTAATATGTTTAACATACTTTTATGCCAAGGTAAATTATATACTGTATAATGTGTTTTATGTTCTTAAATTGAATACTGCTAATTTACTATAATTTAGTCTGTAAATCCTGCTAATATAATATGTAAATCTTGCTAAGGTAGCATTTCTGTATTTTCACAAAATTTCTTCTTCCTGGGGATAAAAACAGAAAAAAAAAACTTTTTCCAGAATCTCAAAATGTTAGTGATTTTATAATAAATAAAGCTGTCTGTTCAGTTACTAAAATATGCACCGGACAAGAAAATAATAGTTAAGTTGGAGAGATAGTGTTACTGACTAATTAGTCTGGCGCTAAAGGAATTGAAAACCTCGACTCTCAAAAAAAAATATTAAAGTGTAGTAAAGTGTAGTGGCAGTTTGTCATAAATCTGTATAATCTCTGTGCTAACTTTTAAAAGCTATAGCTGTGTATTTCATTACTAGATTTTAAATATTAATACATAAAACTGAATGTTCTGTGAGAAAATAGATTATACACATACATTTATTGAGTGTGTTTTCTCATGGGGTTCTGAAAGAAGCATTAGTTTGGCATGACTTGTTCTTTGTTAATCATGGTATTATGGTTTTAAAATGCTTTATAAAGTGTCAGAATCTCTGTGTTTTGCATTGGAATGGCAGAAGTGCTTTGTGCCAGAGTCATTCCAGTAACACTGCATGCTGTGTTAAATATTAGCATCAAGTTTAACCTTATTTACTTTTTATTAAGGAGGAGTTCCAGTTTAGATCTAGACCACCACACACTGTTTGTAAATGTCTGAGCCTTCCCCATACAGCTGTCCCCCTGCCCTCTTCATCCACTCTCCCAAGCTAGGTTGAGACTTTTAAAAAATCCTCCATTGGGCTAATTGATGTTTTGTGTTGCTGTTGCTTTTTTGCCTATGCATGATTGGCCTAATTCACCACCTGCATGCTTATTAAATGAAAAAAGGAAGCTAGACTTGGCTGTAAATTATGTATGTAATATAATGTTCAGCCATAAAGAAACCTGCTGAACATTTTTATGATGTGCATGCAAAATACTTGGATTAAAATTAAATATCATAAAACCAAAATACTTGTTCAATGGTTTTTCCTACATCATGCTGGGAATCTTATTAGAATTGTACTTCTATGAAGATAATGAAGATTAAATTAACAGAATACAAAAACTCAATCTCAATTGAAAGCCAGTATTCTGTTTTGAATTAATTGGGAGTCCAGTACTCCTAGGGCATTCTTTTTCTTGGCTCATATACATAATAATAAATGCTCACATTTATAGAATACTATTCCTTTTTTAGAAATGACAGTAATCCATCTTTAGTCTCATAGAAATCTTTTTTTTTAAATAGTCAGTATACATTAAATATGTGAAATAGTACCTGTAATATACCTTTCTGAGAAGCTGAGTGTGGTTATGTGAATTTTTTCAGGTTGTTGTGGCATAGACTAGACCAGTGGTTCCCAGCCTATGCTCTGTAGAGCCCTAAGGACTCCTCATGCACTTCCCAAGTGTTTTGCAGCTGGTCCAGGAAAATAAAATAAAGAAAATGGAATTAAATTGAAGAATAAGAAACAAAAAGTAGAATCAAAATAAGAAAACTAGAAATTACATTCTGAACTGAAATTTGCCAAATTGAATTTTGTGCATCCTCTAGCACAGCGCTTCTCAACCTGGGGGTCGCGACCCCTTGCGGGGTCGCCGAGCCATTTTCTGGGGGTCGCCAAGGCTCCTCGGTTGGCCCCGCCCC